TTTGCAAAAATCTCTATTTCAGTGATGTTTACCACAAGATCATATAACACTTGCCACCTTTTTTAAAATTTTTTTTTTATTGTATTTACGTGTACCATCAAATCAGATCTGACTAGTACAGGAGGAGATTGCCCCCTACTTCTCCAGCAGAGCATCTGGTGGATTTGAACCGTGTACCTCTGGGATTGCAGTGCAGCGTCTTGCCACTAGGCCACTAGAGCTCCCTAACTTGCCACCTTTTAAAAAAATTATTTTTAATGCAGACACAGTAACATATTCCTGAAAAACAGGAACTTTATCACACACAATTGTTTTTACTGGCAGCCTCTTCTGTGTCTGATTTTTGTTATTCAAGCACATGAAATTGACTACCCTTCATAAGGTGACCCTTCCTAAGATGTCATGTTTGCTTCATACAGTCATTTCTACACCACCTGAGAATGTTGGTGACAGAAATAATTATGAATATAGATCTGGTCTGGGCACCTGTAACATGTTTTTATCTCTGGCTTGTTTGTGCTTTTTCATCACCATTATATTTTTTCTCTTCTTCATTTTCTATCTACAAAAAGTAGTACTTATATCACAGTCTTTTGTAAACTTTAAAAATTACTTATTCACATGTTAACATTAATCAGATTGGTACAGTTTTGTTTTGTTTTTTTAATATTAATGGAAGCTTACAGAGACTTAGAGCTTCCAGTCATTCATTGTTGCACTTTTCTCCCTGCCCACCACTCCCCCCACACCAATTCACTCTCCTTGAAAAGAAAGAAAAACTCTTTCATAGTTATGCAATACCCCCACACACACACAAGTCCACTCTACTTTGCAGCCTTCACCCTGGACTTCTATAATGACAAGAATACCCACTCATATGTTTTCTCCCTCATCTGTTTCAATGCAATATAAATCATTCCTCCCCTCTTTTTCTGTCTTCCCTCAATCCTGCTATCAGTCACATTTTGCAATAGCTGCCCTATGTGATATTTGTCCTTTTGTGACTGAGATATTTCACTCAACATCATGTCCTCCAAGATCATCCATTTTGCATAATCTTTCATGAGTTCCTTGTTTTTCAATGCTGCATAGTATTCCATTGTGTGAATATACCAGAGCTCTGTATCCATTTGTTTTTTGATGGGCACTAGGGTTGTTTCCAGCTCTTTGCTATTGCAAACAAAGCTGCAATAAACATGGGTGTTCATAAATCTGCTTGGGTGGCAATTCCGGTTTCTTTAGGTTTTTTGTTTGTTTGCTTTTTCATTAGAATTGAAAGTTTTAAAATCTTCCCTAAAGACATATAACCATTGTCAGCTTTTGGATAAAAGAGAACCTTTACTCCAGTTATGTCAGTTGCTTTAATGCTACATTTTGTACAATGATTTGATGATTTATGAATAACCGAGTAAAGATAAATGTTGTTTAGCCCGAGTTATAGTCAAACCACAGACATTTCTTCCCATCATGGCACCAGGGACCTACCTTGCAGTTAACTTTTTGCAAAATTCTTCTCCTAGATGAACATTATCCAAATCCTGCCATACTGCTTACTACATATGTGTAGGTTTCTTTCCCCATTACATTTTCTTTTTTAACATTGGAAATGTTTTATTTTAGTATGTTTTTCATTGTTGCACATTTACTTACCTTCTCCTCCAGCCCTCCCAGTAGTGCACATTGTTCCAGATTGTTGTCATACATACTTTGCACTTTCTTACCCTAATTTATTTCTGTAACATAGTGATGATATTACTGCATAGTGCCACTGTTGTAAAATAGGACTGATATAGGGGATGGGGGGGAGACTGAGAAAGACGGGATAAATTATGAATACTGCATTGAAACATATGAGAGAGAGAGAACTTTAAAAGGTATATATGATTAAGTATTATTGTCATGACGTGAGACCAGAATGAAGCCTGCATAGTGGAGTGGACTTGGGAGGAAGGGATTATATAATAATGAAAGAATTTTTCTTTTTCAGACTGAAGAACAAATTGGAGGGGAGCAGTGGGCAGGGAGAAAAGTGCAACAATGAATGAATGGAAATTCAAAATCTCTGTAAATTTGCATTAAAATGAATAATTAAAATAACAATAAAAGAAAAAATGGTGATATTTACTCTTATTAAAATTGTTATTGTTAGGTACTTGTGGTATGATGAATTACTATGGCCCATCCATCAGTAGCCTTTCATTTTGTGATTCTAACCTTGTCTTCATTCAGGGGTGAGATATTTGTTGTATTAAGGAGATAGATTAGGATGAGATACAAACCTTACTTTCAAAAAAAAAACCAAAACACCTTACTTTCCCTACTAGAAGGTATAACCAAATCCTAAATTCATGAAGTATTCCTTATTTCTCTTGCTTGTTTATTGTTTGTGCTTATGAGTACAGCATTTGTCATTGTGCTGTACTGGAGTGACTTGCAGGTTCTTGTGATAATGGGAGCTATGCCACCAGTATTTCATATACTAGCAAGGTCCGCATGGTAGATAGGTTTCAGCAGAGCTCCCAGATTAAGACAGACTAGGAACAAGGATTGGGCATCTGCTTGTGAGCTACCAGGTCTTTGAAAAGCCTATAAACCAAAGAGAAATACTGTTAGATATAGTAAGGGATGTTGGGCCCCAGATTGGATGTTACTAAAAAAGGAAGGAGGGGCCAGGCTTTAAAGGACATCATGCTTGGAAAAGTAGAGAGGGTCAGTGAAACAGAAGACAGTCCCCACAAGATTGAATCCAACAAGATGGATTGACACAATGATTGTATCAGTGGGCTTAAAAGTATATCAGAGATGATGAGGATGACACAGGATAGGGCAAGATTCAAAGCCCTGTGTTGTTCATAGGGTCGCTATGAGTTCTAGCTGACTCAACAGCACCTAAGAACATAGAAGCTTCTGGGAGCTCAACACTTATTTGCTGGGACACTGTATATAATGTGATCTCGCTGTACTGAAAACCTATAACCCACAGCCTCAGGGTCCTGGCCCATTTCTCACCTCTCTCTGCAACATGGTCCTACATCACCCATTTGTGTGAACCGTTCCCCCGAAGGGTTTTGTGTTTCTGTGAGACTAATTTTCCAGAGAATTATGGCATGGGGAAGAAGGAACAATTGAGGTCAGAAATTACTTTTGTACTAATGATTGTTAAAAAAATCATTTTCACAGTACTGTTGAGTCAGCTCTGACTCCTTGCAACCTTCTGTGCAACAAAATGAAATCCTGCCCCATTCTCACCGTCTTGGCTGTGTTTAAGGCCATTGTTGAAGTCCCTTTGTCAGTCCATGTTGGGAACAGTCTTTTATACTAACCTCCTGCTTTTCTAAGCATGATGTCCTTCTCCAGGAACTTACTGTACTGAATAACATGCCCAAAATGTGTGAGATCAAGTCTCACCATTCACACTTCAAAGATAACAATTCTTGGCTTTTTCTTATTCATTGTCTGCAATGAATGAAAAGATGCAGATGAAGCAATTGAAAATGCCATGCAGACAGAACCAATTCATAGCTGACCCTCCAGCAGGTTTTCAGGAAGCTATGCATCATACTTGAGAAATTGCCTAGCTTTCTCCCCAGAGCTGGGAAGCTTGCCCTTCTCCTTCAGAACTGCTTTTTGGTGTTGCTCTTGGGTTAGCAGCGCAACTCCGTGTGGGCTACACTCCCAGAGCTCCCTGTGGTTTCGATCAGATGCACTTTATTCTTTAAAGTTACTTTCTTACGCTTTAGTATTTCATATACATTAAATATTTTAGTAGTTTATATTCTGTATATTTTAAAGAGGTCCTTGGCAGCAGATTAACACCATTGCAGTATAATCATTTCCTTTCTTGACTGATGCTTCTTTGGGTGTTGATTATGAATCCACGTAAAATTAAATACTTTGACGACATCAGTTTTTTCTCGATTATCATTATGTTTATTGTTTATTGGTCTAATTATGAAAAGTTTTGTTTTCTGAATGTTGAAGTGTAATCATCCTTTCTGTTTTTCTGCAGGCAAGGTTGTGTCATTTGCATAACGCATCTTATTGACAAGTCTCCCTCCAATTGTGGTGCTGCATTCTTCTGTGTATAATCTAGCTTCCTGGATTCTTGGCTCAGCATACAGATTGAATAGGTATGGTGAAGGATAGTACTCTTCACTACTCCTCCTCCTTCCTTATTTTAAAGCACACAGTACCCACTAGAATATTTGAAGAAAAGCAAGGATGTTTAAGAAGAAGTCAGTGAAACTAAAGTGGAATGAATATAAAAGTGAATGGTAGGAAATAGGGGTGAGACCACTGACATTACAGGCCAGTGTAAAGACCATTGGCTTTTGTTCTGGTGAGAAGTCTTCAGAGGGCATTAAGGAGGTGAGGTATATTCATTAAATTTTGAAAGGGAACTCTATGGAAGGCCAGGGTAGAAGCAAGGAGACTAGTGAGAATATTTTTGCAGTAACACAAGTGAGAGATGATGGTGGCTTAGATCGGGGAAGTAACGGTGAAGGTTATGAGAAGTAGCCAGGCTAAGGATAAATTTATAAAGCTTGAGTTAACATGATTTACTTATACATAGTATGTGGGGTTTTTAAACTATGTTAAAATAAGAGTATTCTTTTTTTATTTTAAATTAAGTTTATTTTTCGTTATATACTTTACATTGA